GCACAGATCAAATTGCAACACTACGGATCATCGTCGATCAGTCAGTTGAGTGGAACTCTTCACTGTACATCAACTTCAGTGATTATGAAAAGGCATTCGACAGTGTAGACAGGAGGATGTTATGGAAACTTCTTCGACACTACAGAGTTCCTGAGAAGATTGTCAATATTATCCGGAACTCATACGACGGACTACAGTGCAAAGTAGTGCATGGAGGACAGCTGACGGATGCATTCCAAGTAAGGACTGGAGTCAGACAAGGCTGTTTACTCTCTCTTCATCTTTTTTTTGGTGGTCGACTGGATTATGAGGACCTCGACATCCGAAGGAAAACACGGAATACAATGGACAGCTCAGAATCAATTAGACGATTTGGACTTCACAGATGACATAGCCCTCCTATCGCTTACACAAGAACAAATGCAGATAAAAACAGGCAGTGTAGAAGCAGTCTCTGCATCAGTAGGATTCAGCATACACAAAGGGAAAACCAAGGTCCTCAAATTCAAAGCGGAGAACAGCAATCCAATCACCCTTGATGGCGAAACTCTGGAAGATGTAGAATTCGTCACATACTTGGGAAGCATCGTCGATGAACAAGGAGGTTCAGATGCAGACGTAATGGCGAAGATTGGCAAAGCAAGGACAGTATTCCTACAGTTGAAGAATATATGGTACTCAAAACAAATTTCAACCAATATCAAAGTGAGAATCTTCAATACGAATGACAAGGCAGTTCTACTGTATCGAGCTGAAACTTCCAGAGCTACTACAACCATCATCAAGAAGGTGCAAGTATTTATAAATAGCTGTCTACGCAAGATACTCAACATCCATTGGCCAGATACCATCAGCAACAGCCTTCCGTGGGAGAGAACAAACCAACTTACAGATGCAGAAGTAATTAGGAAAAGACGATGGAAATGGACAGGACATACATTACGCAAATCGTCAAACTGCATCACGAGACAAGCCCTAACTTTGAATCCTAAAGGGAAGTGGAAAAGAGGAAGGCTAAAGAACACATTCTGTCGGGAAATAGAATCAGATATGAAAAGGATGAATAACACCTGGAAAGGATTGCCCAGGACAGAGTTGGATGGAGAACGCTGGCGAGCGGCTTATGCTCCTTCACGAGGAGTAATATGTGTGAGGAAGTGGGTAAGTTTCTAATACACAACCAGCTGCATTTCTCTGTGTTGAGCTCTACCCTTCAGCGTTTGTACAAGTTGTCTACCATGTTGAGTTCACTTCGAATTGTTTGCATAGTACTTCATACATCGCAAATGTCAGTTTTATGGATGACTTTTATGTCATCGACATAGAGCTAGGTCTTACCTGTGCTAAGGCACTTGCATATATTGTTGATGTAGATTGTAAAGAGAAACGGGCCCAGGACACTACCCTGCACAACATCACTGGTTATTGGTCGAGGTGTAAATGCTGTAGAGTTAATTTTAGTTATTTGGTATGCTTGTGAGAAAAGTCTTGATCCATTGCAATTGGGGGCTCGTCATTCCCGCTGACTGAAGTCTTTTGATTAGGAGGTTATGAGGTACTTTATCAAGGGCTTTCGTAATATCGAAATATTGTATAACCACTAGTTTCTTTTGGTCACATATGCGAGCAACCTCGTTAAAGAAGTTTATTAGACATGTACTGCAGGATTTCGTTCTAATGAAGCCGTGTTGCGACGGGCCTATTAGATCTTTCGTGCCCCTAGGTAACCCTCGTGCTATTGATAGAAGAAACCAGACAAGTAGTGAATAGGTCTTTATTTAGATTGCATACGAGGACAAATTACCGGAAGAATGAATTAGTTGGTAGGAAGAAAGATATGAAGTGATTTTTATCTCATAGTTTAAGGGAAGAGAGAGAATGTATACACCTACGTCATTGTGATCGATCCTGAGCCATGTCACCAACCATTGGTTACGATAGTCACGCGGACCCCAACCAAGTAGTCTATTGGTAGCAACATGGCTCAGACCAGAAGTTAGTTACTTCAAGCACTGATGCCACGTTTTCGTTTGGCCGTCCCTAACTTTCTTTCAACCCTCCCCCACACTAGTCAGTCTAGTGGTGATAGTAACATATATAATAGTTTAATCCCCTTTACTTTTGAGTATGTAGTTTGACTATCAAAGAGGATATTCTTATTCGTATGCTTATCTTTAGTTTGAATTATTATAGACTTCTGTTCGGGTTCGAATGGTATCCTGACCCATTAGACTGGTTGGTATCGCCAGTTAGCGCGAAATATACAATCCCATAAAACTTCATAGTCAGCTCATGATATTTATACCTGATAACAGATGAATCATGAGTGTTTGAATCAATACTGAACAATAGCTTTTTCAAGTTTTATCACGCTTACAGATTACTCGATTCACTTAAACTAAACATGTAATGAATTGGCTTCGAGATAATTCCTTAGGTTTTGTATATCAATCACCTTGATAACTGTTATTAAATAAATTCCAACGGTGTATGGGTTCAAAAGGCAACATGAAGCGCAAACTACAGTCCATTATTGGATAGCGCAGATCACAAAGCTACAAGAACACCAAGCGAATTTGGGCAGAAAAACCGATACGCGCGAGCAAGCGAACACACACCTGAACTCAGAGTCCAATCAATTAACAGGATTCAAGCATATATACATGGGAAAGCGAATAATTCATCAAGTGATGTTTAAGCAACTAACATTTAAGCTAGAGAGAGGGATATCTGCGTTAGCTGTCACATGTGACCAAGCATACATGTTCATACAGACAATAATAATAATAATAATAATAATAATAATAATAATAATAATAATAATAATAATAATAATAATAATAATAATAATAATAATAATGATAATAATAATAATACAAATAGAGACAAATTGTTACTGTCCGAATAACACTGTCTTTTAATTGAAGGGTTTGACAAAATTAGCGGTAAACAGAGTTAATTGTAGTAGATGTGCTATAATAGTTCTATCCATACTTGATAACTAAGTCATCTTCACTAAACCTTCAGTCAATCAGTCCGCTAAAACGTACGATCAGGCATATATATGCATTGGTCCAAGTTGCAACACCTCATTAGCATAACAAAATAAACACCAAATTCATAGAAGTAGTTACTTCAATGGTAGTAATATATAAAAGGAAGATTTCATATAAGGATAAAATACAGGTAGAAAGAATTAGTTCGTAGAAAGAAATGTGTAAAGTAATTTTATTCTCATAGTTTAAGGGAAGAGAGTGAGAGTCTATACACTGATGCCATTGTGATCGATTCTGAGCCATGTCACCAAGAGTCTCCAACCATTGGTTACGATAGTCACGCGGACCCCAACCAAGTAGTCTGCATCTCCCAACATGGCTCAGACTAAAAGTTAGTGACTTCAAGCACTGATGCCACGTTTTGGTTTGGCCGCATCTAACACTAAACCTTCACATAATGTGTAGATCGAGAATATGTACGCATAAGACAAATACCATCCAATCAGAATATTTATATTTTTATCAATTAATATACAAGAAAAAAAAGAGACACTTTACATCAAGATACATAATAAACTAAATTTTAATTTGAAAAGAAATCATCATTCATAATGGTGTACAGTATAACAACATTATGTAAATCTTGATCCTTGAAGTTATCTAATGCACGTCACATTCAGATGATGGTTTTAAAATATCTTTGAAATAAATTATAGTTTTACTTAATCCTTCTTGTAAAGTTACTGTCGGTTTCCAATTTAACTGTTTTATAGCTGTACTAATATCAGGTTGTCTTCGTTGAGGATCATCAATTGGTAACGGTTGATAAATTATATCACTTTTGCTGTCTGTTAGTTAGAAAACATAAAAAACAAATGGTTATTTTGCATGGCAGCCAATTCTGAGACTAACGTGCAAGCTTTCTATATGAAGGCCCAAACCATTTACTGGAGAGAAAAGCAAGCTTCACTGACTAGAACTATGCATATATATATAATCCGTTGCTTTACATAAAACTGATTGAAGTGATTTTGCTGGTTTATGTACTACACCTATTCCAAACGTCTAAAATAATCTCGTAGCAATCTCGTGAGAATGATCGCAAATATAAGTACCTATTCATTTGCTATTATTATTTTTTTAAACATAACGTTGCGACTTGATGAATAATGAGACATCATGACTTGAACACATTGAGTAATATTCACTAGATTACATTTGCAGATTCTACTTTAAAAATGAGTTAGATTCACTATACACACATTAGAGTACTAAGCAGAGATGATAAGTTGATTGATGAAATAGATAACCTGCATGAATAAGGGTAATCGGATCATACAATGAGCATATGATCGGCTATCGTTTATTCTGACATAAGATACTGATTAGCATAGACAATTGATTGATTAAAGCTACTAAATTTCTTCCTACATTTAAAAACTTTTGACGTTTACTCCTATTGACATCTCGTCGTAATTATGTGAACTGTAACAACTTGAACTGATATATTCTCTGTGATTGAAACCTTGTGATGATTAGGAGTATTTGAATAATAGTATGAACTAAGAATCCCAGAAATAACGCAATTGGATCAAGAAGTACTCGATAAGCACGAACGAATGTACTGCATTTAGAATTCGAAATCAAGCATTCAACAAGTACAAAGGAATCATTAGTTCATTCAAAGACCACAAACCTTTAATTGCTTCATTATCAAAAGTCAATTCTGAGTTTGTGGTGAGGTTGTAGGTAGACACCACTGATGAGTCCTATACTGGGACGAAACAGCCGTTAAATGCTTGCTAGCTCTCAACGATCCTTCAACTGGAATCATAGCATGATGTAAAATCACCGGATTCAATAATTCCCATGGCATCATAATAATTGAGGAAATTCCTGACACTTCACTTAGTTATCTCAGTAGTAGAGGTAATTAGGAAGGAAATTGGAGATTAGTTTCGGCGAATTTATCCATCTCGATGTATAGTTGTAGAGTGTTAAAGATATATGTACAAGGCTGGAAACGCACTGTTCCGTTTACCGTAGAAAGATGTGATTATGTGGGGTTTCATTTGAAAAATGAAAAACCATTATGGTGAGCTATAAAATTAATGGAACAAGTTGGAACCATAATTTATGGACGACCTTTGAGCAACGACAAAGTGATATTCAGCAAACCCACCAATCTACTAGGGTTTAAAGAAGGTCACAAATTAGTGTGAGAAATCGGAATCGAAATTTAGAGTTGGAAGTTAGGGTTAGGAATTAAAGTTGGAATTTTCATCATGAACTGGCATCAGCTAGATACCAAAATGGTATTTAACCATATAAGTGAGTGGATTTCGCGCCAAAATCGAAAACCCCCTATTTCAAATCTGATTGGTTACTAAATAAAAAGAAACCTTAGTTTAAAGGGACTTACCTGTAAAATTCTTGACCATGATTGCTAATTCATTCACTGTAAACTCGACAGGATTTCCCAAATTAACAGGCATTGTATAATTGGATTCCATTAAAGCTACAAGACCATTCACAAGATCGCTGATATACTGAAAAGATCTAGTTTGTTCTCCTAACCCATATACCTACATGGAGGAGGAGAGCAATAAAACGCACTTTTATAGCATACACATATTCCATTGGCAATAAGAACACTTGATGTAGTTAAGATTGATAGTATCAAATTATTGATAGGAAATACATGTTTCATCTATATTTCCGCTACCTAATCCGTGTCGGGTAGAAACAGGTGTCTACCTCAGTATAATGGAAGATGGTCGCGCAATTTCGTGGATTGGTTGAGGTTAAACATTAACACCATTGGATGCCGGCCGGCTCAGTGGTCCAGTAGGTTGAGAGTTCGCGCGCAAGACTGAAAGCCCGAATCCCGCGAGCGAGATCATGGATTCGCACTGCTGAGGAGTCCCACAATAGGACGAAACGGCCGTTCAGTGCTTCCAGGTTTTCAATAGTGGTCTAACATCAATCGGTTCATGATCTCAATCAAAAAGTTCTTAGTTTTTTTTATTACTAGTTACTGTTAATAAGTAGTTGAACTGATATTTCGGAAATTTTCTAGTACGAATACTGATTTAATTTCAGGAGGGGCACCATATAAAAGAATACTGAGATTTTTTATTACAACATCAATATAAATTGTTTCCTCATGAAAAGAGTGTTTTTTTTCTATGTAACTATCAGTGGTGATAATCTCGAATTATCAAGGAGATCATTGCAACAATGAATAGTTCTATAATTAAAAACTAATTTGTTTGTAGCACTGATTTGACATTTTCATCTTGGATGATATTTGAATTGTGATTTACTGAATTTCACATATGAAAAGGCTGGCTGAAATTCTTAAATTGACTTTAAAAGCAAACATTTTAATGATAAAATTTTTCCCATTATGAAACTTATCTAATTTAATCACTACTCTATATACTTGAATTTATTTATTTATTTTAACACATAGATATTGGTACAAGGAGGTACCAAATACATATGCGCCACACAAATCTCATTTGACTTATGTGAGGGCTGTGATACTGCCCGGGTGCCCAAACAGAAGTATTGATTTAAATTGCTATGCATTTATCAGATAATTAGTTCCATTTGAATATCGTGATTAATTGTACCTTTAAATCAACACGGAGAAAACAACATGAAAACTTATTTTTGAGCGTCTGTTCATAAATGATATTGCGAGAACAATACTGAATACCATTATTGTAGGCCAAATGTATTCCGCCATGGCTCTAAGCCTCGCAAACTAGAAGTGAATGCAACAAGCTACTAAATAAAAAAGCTATTTCTCTTTAACCTTCCAGCAGTAAAAACATGCAGACCAAAATACAATTGTATTGAATTGTTTTACTTCATTTATAACTCTATTAAATCACAATAAATCTAGAATACTAAAGCGGATCCAATAATGTACATGTCTAACTTAAATCAACTCACGATATTGCGCAACCATCATCCATTGCCTGAGGTGGATAAGTGTATCACACCCTAACCCTAACCTGGAAGCACTGGATAGTCACTTCATCTTGAGACGGGACTCCTCAGCAGTATGTATTCACGATCCCGCATACGCGAATCGAAACCAAGATCTTAGATCTCGCGCGCGAGCGTTGAACTGTTAGACCACTGTGCCGTGACCAGTGGGGTACAACCATGTTGGGTCTGAGACAGCTACTTACATTAGGCAATTGATGATGATTAGACATGTACATTATTGGATGCAGTTCAGTATTCTGGGTATATTGTGATTACAGGTACACCTTGCTGGCAAGTGCCATATAGCACAAAACTTAGGTCCAGGGTGTCCTGTCGACAGCCTCCAACCACCACTTGTGATTTAATTTATTTTTCTAGTTTTTTTAATGAATGGGGTACAACAGTTCAACACAATTTTATTTATTCTCTGCATATTTTCACTGTTCAGAGGGTAAAGGGTATGGTAATGTAAATGAATATGAAGACAATGATAGGACAAGTATTATTAATAATTAATCTGGTTCATAGTCTACAGAACAAGACGCTAGTCCCTTGCAGAAAGGATTCCAGAACCCACTTCCATCAGAAGTTTGTGGTGATGGCGGAATTGTTTAAAAAGATAACTAAAGCTTCACGACTAAAACACCAGATCAGAAAACATAATTTTAACAAAAATTTAGTCCATTTAGGAAGAATATCCTACCGTACCTTTTTCAATATGTCACTTATGACATAGTTTACTGTGGGGAGCGGCTTCTGGTGAACTCAAGGGAGCTCTGAAAGAGCCGAAGACATTCTATTCAGTCATCGTTTGAAAGAACATTCCAGAATCTCAACGTATAGTTTCCCGATTGGACAACTGTGAAAAACCACTACACATAAACTGGATAACTGTAACGACAATTTCGTTTTTACTAAAAACTATAAATACCTGAGTGTTCTGTACCATATTTGACACTATATGGAATAAGATTCCTTCTCACTAGTCTCCTGTCTTCTAACTTATGATTTGGAAGATTCAAATGTTCAAATGCTCAAACTAAAATTGTACGCGGTATAGCAAGTATCTAAGATCTAGATATAACATTTACCTTTCCACTCTTTATTTAGTTTGTCATGTTATCGATTTTTTATCAGTAAATTAATTATCTTTCTCACTATCTCTCTATCTCACTCACACACACACACACACACACATCCATTAGGCTTATTTTTCGTTTATTATTTATTTACAGATATACCAGATCTTTTTAAACTCTAAGGTTATCCTGAAATTCCAAATAAACATTTAGTCGTTACTATGGTGTACTGGTCATCATGTCTGTCTAATGCATATACAAAAAAAATACAAATAAATACCACATAGATTTTAGTTAAATGACCTTTCAAGTGATAATATATAATATATAATAAATACATAGATTAATTACCGTAATCGATTCATTGTTTAATGCTTGTGCAATGAAATTAGTTACCACTCGACCATCATTAACTTGCATTCTTGGTCCATATGTATTGAATATACGAGCAACTCTAACAGGAAGATTAAGCTATATTGATAATAGAAAATTATAAAATTACAAACATAATTCAATTGAATAACAAATAAACTGTCTGTAAGTTTAACAATTAGATTAGTAAAATACTATCAATATTAATTCAATAGTTGATGACCGTCTCGTCCTATTGTGGGACTCCTCAGCAATGTACATCCCACGATCCCAATTCAAGATATTCGAACCCAGGATCTATCAGTCTCGCGCGCACGAAAGCTTAACCTCGTGGATGCGCACTGCTGAGGAGTCCCACAAAAGGAGGAAACGACCGTCCAGTGCTTCCAGGTTTTCTATGGTGGTCTAGCTTCAATTGACCCATGATCTCAACTATTAAATTAAAATCAATATTAGTTCATTTACCGTTACCAAAATTTATGATTAAATGATTTAGTTGAATGTGTGATAGTTTAGTGAATGAAGACTCAGGTATGGTAAACCAATTTATTATTTTCTGCAAAATCATACAGTGACTTCGTAAAATATGAAAATCATACATTAAATACATCATTTATATATCTTCTTGGAGTTGTCCTTGACATACTCCATCATTCTTCCAATCCTGTTGTTATTTCGATTATTCTTCGTTTGCCTTCCTGTTCTCTTCATTTCAATCTTCTGCTAGTAAGTATTCCACTTCCAATTGCTGCTAAATACTATTTATGTCTGTCCGTATAAACAGTGCACACCACAATAAGAGTAAACAAACCTCTCTACCTGTCACGATTTTCAAAATTTATGCAGTATATATATATATATATATATATATATATATATATATATATATATATATATATATATATATATTGCTTGAAGGGTGCATGACCTATGAAATTGAATTCCTCTGATCGTCTACGACAATAAACCATGTTTAGTTCCTCGTTAATATTTTGTATATAAGCTTGTTGTCTTATAACACAAAAATCATTTTCTGCTGAGCAGCTACCTCATCTCCTGATATCTGTAAAGTTAGAAGGTTACGTAAATAATTTGTTCTGGTGAGCAGCCATCGCCCGACCACGTCGTATCATTGCTGCTTTTATTTACTGATCACTATTGGATTCACCCAACTTAACAATCTAAAAATTCCTTTATTGAATCCTACCCCGAAATAAGTTACTCACTTGAAAGTTCCTACTACCGATATGAAAATTATTTTATAGCCTAAAGAAAAACTAAGACAAAGACAACATTCAAACCAACAGATATCTGTTCACCATCTCTTTACTCTTTAAAATCAATTATGAAACTTAAGCAGTGAATAGATATTTGAAATACTTCAGTCATTAAGTGATGTATCATGACCCGAGAACAATAGTGTTTGATCTATTTCTTACAACATCAAGATACGAATTACATGGTGATTGAAGCAAAACTCGGATGTGACTAACATACACGCAACAAAGTTTAAACACATAGAATCGGATTTCAAAAGAGTGAATGATAATAGAAGGGAATAAAAAAATGAAATTATATTGAAGCACAATATTTAGGTGAAGATAGAGAATAAATTCATCAGTGCCACTGAGACTTATTTTGAGATAGGTCACCCACCGTCTCCAATCATTGATCATTTATACTGCACCGATTTCAATCAGACAGTATACATCTACCGATATGGGTCAAACCAATAGGTTGATGGCTTCGTGGATTCAAGCTACAACTTAATTTGTCAGTCTCCAATATTTTTCTCAACCTGCTTCTACATCAGCCAGATATAGTTGAACTTACATAACAGATTTTCAAATAACTAAGTACACAATGAATCAAGTTGGTAGCCAGAAAGGAGATGGTCTGATGGAGTTTTGTTCTCTGAGTTGGATGGTTTGGTCGTGGAGCTTTCATCGTTCTTCTGAACGACATCATCAGCATAAACTTCAGATAGAAGTGAAGTATTCGAATTTTTCCATATGCGTTTCACAGCTTGTTCTGTACACCTGCTGAGCAGCAGGAGATGGTTTGAATTTGATAGAAATTTAAAAATCAAATTATATCTCAGTAAAAAAGTTTCAGTGACAAAACTTTACAAATAATGTATATTCGACCGCCTAACTCCTTACAATTGCTCCATATATAATGATGAATTACTGATATTCATCATATTGGACTGTACAGAATTACATATAAAAATTAAACTTACATGTCTAAAATAAGCATAAGTCATTGTTTCACCAAGTCGTTTACTTTCATCATAACAAGCTCTTGGACCAACTGGATTTACATTACCCCAATAGGATTCAGGTTGAGGGTGGACTTCAGGATCTTTGATTGTGGAAAAGAAAAAATAACACAATGAGAGTGGAATACTAATACACTTACAGAAGCGAGTATATTGAGTGTGTAATTTATACTATGAAAGATAATACTACTTTGTGAGAAAATCAAAATCCGACAAGACATAACTTGCACCAGTTTGTATGAAATTTAAAATGCATAATCATATCTCTTTTACAACTATGTAGTGCATATGACATGGTATGAAAGTTTAATTACAAAAAAAGTATCCTGATGTAAACTTTATCTGAAATATCGAGAGTACTTTATAAGGTTCAGGCCACAGTCAAGGGTGTTTGTAAGATCTTCCAAGGAGCTCCATAAGAAATTACCTAATTAGTACAAAAAACCAACTTTGATATTCTGGGATTTCTTTCCCTTTTAAATAGCTATGCAGGATAGTGTTCGGCTGAAACAGCTCAATCCCTTAACACACGACCGAATCTAGTTGCATATCGTCATGAGAATCGTCATTCAAGGTCGTCTATAAAGTTAAAAGGACTGGATCAAAGAAAGTTTGGATGGGGAATAAACTTACACTTGAAATTATTTTTCTTATAACTATGATTGTAATTGCTAATATCTGGGCTTTGTTCAACTAGTGTTAAGTATCTATCTTCGGTTTGGAACAAAATTCCCATACTACATTCTATCTCTGCATGTTAACTCAATTAATTCAAGACTTTTCCGATGTAAAGCATTTACACTTTCGTTTTACTTATTATTCCTATGGTTTTCAGTTGTAAGCAGCTAACGAAGATTCACGAAATAAATGAATTCATGTTATTCTGCTAAGATATTTATTCTTTCTTTATTGAATTTTACAAATGCAAAAAAAATTGTACAAAGCTAACAGTAGTTCGTTATTTCAAACCCGATCTCTGTGAAGAAAAGAGTAGTGCTCAATCTCTCTTATTCCTCCATGGTCTTAACACCTCTCCTAGTATTGTAAATGGTAATACAGAAGACAGTAGGCTTTTCCATTTATCGTATTATTTATTCTTATTACTACCAAAACTATTACATGAATGTAATTTAGTGAAGAAAACTTTCTTTTCTACTAATTCATTTACTTAAGCTGTATGATCGCCTTCATGATGAGTTTACTTTATAAAGATAGCAGTCTATAGTAAAATAGAATAGTGTTGAATCAAAAAGAAAACTTGATGTGGTAGTAGAGAAGACTTGTAGCTCAGGTAGATGGATGGTTTGGTCGTGGAGCTTTCATTGTTCTTCTGAACAACATTATCAGAACAAACTTCTACGAAAATCAGATAGGATGTTATGTAAAAATTGCCGAGTGAGAAGTGCTTAAGTGAAGATGATTCTTCACTTGATAGCTATTAAGAACAAAATAATTAAAAGTTATAATAATGGCTAATTAATAGGTGTGAAAATGATTGAAAAGGAGGCGACTCATGTAATTGGTTACCTTTATGGAGCATTATTCAAATTGAAAAGGAGTAGAAAGTCTTTTTTTTTAAAAAACCCATAGATTATGGAAGATACAAAGGAAGGTTAAGACCATGGAACAATGAGGGATTGGACATACTCTTTTTGTAAGCAAACGTTAGTCTTGAACTAGTGGTTAATAATAGCCTCTGTTATACATAAGTTTTTTATTTGCATTCTTTTTGAGCGGACTCTTCTGATTGTATGTATAATTTCGAAAGGGGATTGTGGTGAAAAGGAATGGCCAGAATTAACTAGATGTTCCAGGATTGAGCTTTTGACTGACATTTGTATTCCTATAGAAAGTCAGGTAAGGTAACATTTGGAGAAGTATTTCGAAAAGCTCGCTTTGTGGAACAAATATAATCTGCCCCAAATGAGCACGTAGATTGAAGAAACAATTTTCTCTACTGAATTCCTATCATTCTTCTTCAGTGATAAAATAGGCTTCCATGACCATATTTCTTGATAATTTTCGGTTAATTTCGATAATGATATTAGAAGACGGAGATTATCAGAACCATGTGATATTAATATATCACATACATTTCGAACAATCTGGTCACACATATACTTGTTAAGAGCATTTATATATAAAAATAAAAGGTCAACTAGACAGGAAACGGGGTAAGAGGAGATAATGATAATGATAAGAGTAATAATAATAATAATGTGAACACAATTTGAAACCTAAACACTCTGGATAATAAGTCAATATTACCAGGGTATGTTTAAGGTAAGAACAAACTGTTTTTGAACACATAAAGGGGGTTTGAATTTTCGTATGGCGAAGACTTCAATAAACCTTAGTATACGCCCTTTTACACTTTTAAACAACACCACGAAAGCTGAATTTAGATCAATCTCGTGACCTGTTTCAATTATATATTTAGCAATAGAGGATGATGGATGCTTATCCTCTACTCTTATTGGGTCACTTGATTGTATTTGTTTATGAAGCCATTTGGGTGCATGTTCACTCACTCTAATGTTGAGATCACGATTACTCCTCCCTATGTATGTGTGACCACACACACATTTAAATTGGTAAACACAGTGGGATGTGACCTTACCTTAAACCTACCCTGGTAATATTGACATAATATCCAGAGTGATTAGGTTTCAAATTGTGTTCACATTATTATTATTATTATTACTCTTATCATTATCAATATCTCCTCTTACCCCGTTTCCTGTCTAGTTGACCTTTTATTTTTATATATAAATGCTCTTAACAAGTATATATGTGACCAGATTGTTCGAAATGTATTGCGCTAATATATCATCACATAGTTCTGATAATCTTTGTCTTCTAATATCATTATCGAAATTTATCAAAGGGACTAATTGTTTTAAATTTTTGGTTACTTTGCTAAACGATTAAACACCTATTCTATTCAACACTTGAAAACTTACGATAACTTTAATTACATTAAAGTACCGCCTTTCTATTTACAGACCATCATATTTATTACTTGAAATCTTTGATTACTTAATTAAATTATGCAAAACCACTTCATCTTCATAGACTTTTACATTTGAAACTTAAGTAAGTTTGACCATCTTTGATAATTATTTAACAAAATTAGTATCAGAGAAGGGGTTTTGTGGATATCATGGTAAATTTAATAGTTGAGATAATGAGTCAATTGAAGCTAGATCACCATGAAAAACCTGGAAGCACTGGACGGCCATTGCGTTCTATTGTCAGACTCCTCAGCAGTGTGCATCCACGATCCCGCCTCGCGAGATTCAATTGACTCATAATCTCAACTATTAAAATTGTATAACACTTCTTTATTTTATCATAGACTACTAGATGTAAAAAATTACTTATAAATGCAATTGTACATCATAGGAAAATGGTGTTGTTGAGGAGAAACTTTATTTCGCTGAAAAGACTTCTTTCTTTTTTTTTCTTAATGAATCAATGGATTTCTTTGATTATTTTAAAGTCATTTTCTTTAAATAAGGAGTAATTGTTACATAGGCCACACAAAGCGATCACTTCCCAAACGCATCTCAGAACACTATCCGGTTTGGCTTTTAAAAGGTGAATGTAAAACAACTACTAATTCTATACAGGAGCATTTAATCAATCGTGGACACATCGCTCCAAAGGATTCCTCTTTTAAAATAATCTACAGAGTCAAATAATTAGATAGAAGGGGTGTCGAATCAATCTTTTATGTACTGGTGAGGGTATTGGTAATCCACGAACTCAAACTCGAACTTTACGTGCAAAAACGATTTGTCCAACCTTTTATCCTTCCTTAGCCCTAATTCCCTTTATTAGTAACGTTTCGGTTTTTTCTTCCTTTTTTGTTTTATTATTATTGATTCCTTGAATAAGTGTTTCTTAATTTTTAACCGTAATCAATTGTAAGCAATGATGGATAGTGGCTAGCAGTGGAATCCAGGACACGCGTTTCGTCCTATTTGGGACTCGTCAGCTGGATGTACCTGCATCTCATAGTTGATGTTCACTCTGTGACTCGAACCCAGTACCATTCGCTTCAAACGCCATCGCGTTATCCATTCAGCTACTGAGTCCTGATAGCCACTTGCATGTGCAATGGGGTGAATTTAAATTCACATATGCTAATAACAGACTGATCAATTGCAGTCTTAAACCTCAATGGGAAGATACAAGCCAAACAATACCAAGTGAATGTAATCAATTATCATTATGACCTTTATGTTCGTCGTTTTTTTCTTCATATCTGTCAATTGAACAATTATCTGACCCGTAAATTATTTTCATCCTTATATTCTTTTCTTAGCCCTTGATTATTGTGTAACCGCATTTGATAATAAGAGTCTCGAATCTTTTCTATCCTTCTACAGACTTATGTATCTTCCATATAACTATAAATATGAATGTACAGTTGAAGGAAATGATTTCATTGAAAAGAAAGTTTTGATTGTTGAATTCTCTTTTTCTTATTCAATGACACTATGGGTGGGTTATTTGAATTAATTGCTAATCTGTTAATTGTTTCATGTTACATAACAACTATTTACATGTGTAGACTATCTTCTTAAAAAATAATAATAAAACAACCATTGACAAGTTAAATAAACAACCAATCACTTTATGTAAATCGATCATACAAAGTCGATGTTTTACGCATTAATGTTGTACTAAGGTGTTATATAATGAAAAGTTTTCTGATACTAATCAACACATTCTCAATAAAGACTGACTTCAAGAAATATTTCCTCAAGTTCTAGTGAGAAGTAGTGATCAGTGGAGTTCAACCTAGTCTGTTGTGAGATAGTAACTCACTGATGACAAAAGTGGATGTGTCGCTCAATTTCGTGGATTACTTGAAGTTAGACATTAACATAGTTGGATGCCGGCTGGTGCAGTGGTCTAGTGGTTAAGCGCACGCGTGCGAGTCTGGTAGGTTCTGGGTTCGAATCTCGCGAGGCGGGATCGTGGATGCACACTGCTGAGAAGTCCCACAATAGAACGAAATGGCCGTTCAGTGCTTCCAGGTTTTCCATGGTGATCTAGCTTCAATTGACTTATGATCACAACTATTGAAATTTATTTATTCCCTTATATTATCAAATTGACCATATTCTATTGGTATACGAGTTTTTTTTAAAGAAATAGTCAGACATTACACTTAAAACAACATTGATCATATTAAATAATGGGTGATAAACTGTGTGATTCAGATACCATCATATTTATTTCTCAAATAAGTATTAAGGTGTTTTGATTTAAACAATCATCAGCAATAGCCTTCTGTGGGAGAGAACAAACCAACTTCCAGCTGAAGAGGAAATTATGAAAAGACGATGGAAATGGATAGGACATACATTACGCAAATCGTCAAACTGCATCACGAGGCAAGCTCTAACTTGGAATCCTGAAGGGAAGCGGAAAAGAGGAAGGCCAAAGAACACATTACGTCGGATAATAGAAGCAGATATGAAAAGGATGAATTACAACTGGAAGGAGCTGGAAAGGATTGCCCAGGACAGGGTTGGATGGAGAATGCTGGTGAGCGACCTATGCTCCTTCACGAGGAGTAACAGGTGTAAGTAAGTAAGTAAGTAAGATTTAAACAATAGAAGGGAGTAAGTGATGAGTTCAACCTTCAATTCAGTAAAATAAACGATCGATATAATAAGCTTGAAAGCAATAACGATTCAACAAAATGAAAATATTTCAGAGTTTGTTTTTCAGTGATATCCTTTACTTAAGCTGTACAATTGTATCGACATTTACATGTGATAGTCTATAACGAAATAGAAGCGTATTGCCTTATTTAATAAACTAATCAAAGGCTTCCAAGTATTGAACAGACATTATGTAATAGTCTTGGGAGGAATAAGAAGTAATAATTTAAAGAAAAATGCAAAAGATAACTGTTTACCTTGTAAATATAAAGACAGCGAAGAATAAGATCATAATTGACATTAATTATTTGCACAATCAGAAGGGAGTACTGAGACCATGGTAGAATAAAAGGTTGAATATTTCCTTATTACACATAGAGATCAGGTTAAAATTGATGGATTGGTATAGTCAGCCATGTGCGAATATTCTTTGATCCACTTCTTTTGGTTTTATAGATAGTCCTGATTTTATTTATTTAAACACATAAACATTGGTACAATGAGGCACCAAACAGATATGCGCCATATAAACCATTCAATTTGTGTGAAGGCTGGAATACTGCGCGGGTACCTAAACCAAAGCAGGTGGTTTTCTTAAGGGGCCACACCCAGAGCCTTCGAACTAAAGGTCTGATCCACAAGGCAGTGGAACAACGTAAGGAGATACAGTTCCATGGTAGCCGCTGACCAATAATTGGTTCATATGCCTTTTGTTCCCTCAGGATATTGGAGCCAATGTGCACCATTAGTTTAGAATCAGGGTTTTCCAAATCCCCTAGTTGGATTCTCCATACCCACTAACCAGGTTAAAGCGCCAGACATTCGCTTTGCGTCCTCTCAATTTCGTAAACAACAGTAGTGCCGCGAGAAGGCAATGAGTAGAGATAGTCCTGAGCAATGATCCTCATGGAAGCACTTGATCAGAGTTGATCATGTGACCAAAGATTGGGCTGTTCACTGACTTATATTTCCCTCTAGATATTCATTTAGGATAGTGTTCTGATATATATGTATTTAGCAAATGAATGCTACTAGGGAAAAAAAATTTTCAAGGGTCTTCCGAATGAAAGATCCCATATTCCACAATGTAAACAACTTAGATCGGATCAATTAACATTGTAAAAATACTTTCACAATTTCATAAAAATTACTTCAAACTAACCGCCATAAATTTCTGAAGTAGAAGCGAATAAAAATTTGGCATTTGTACGACGAGCTAATCCTACCAAAGAAAAAAACAAAATCATTTTGAATACAAACACAATGATATTATTATATATAAGTCAATAATCCAATGTATAAAAAAGCTTTATCTGCTAACTTATTTTACAACATTATACTATACTTATATGCCTATGCTCTTCCACGAGGAGTAACAGGCGTAAGTAAGTATACTCTAATAGATGAACAATAAAAGAAATATGAAACATAGAAAGAAACATTAGACATTGTATATAACTAGATTAGTATTTAAATTGAAACCTTAACTATTTCAAATCTAATGTGAATGTAAAATAATGGACTTAATTGTAGTATCCAAGACTTTGACTTTTCGATCGTTGAGTTATAGGTTTGAGTAAAATTGCATTTAATCTGATTTGGTTGGTCGGATTGTACTACAAATTTTATTGAATAAAGAGATTTACAATTGATTAGTGATGAGTGACTAATGTCATGTTTGTCTAGTCATTTACTGTTGGTAGAATTCTATCCATTAAATTGTAATGTGGCTAATCGACAAGATTCAATCAGCACTAAAAGACTAAATAAACATGGCATCACAGTCCTACAGAAGGTCAATCGTACCCCGAATAACTCAGTCTTCTCGTTACAAACAATGAATTTAGGTGAAGTTGAATCACGTCCGTTAGGGGACACCAGTTCCTTCGAGACTACTGACGAGTACCTACAATTATCTAACTATAAAGGACTTGTTAAAACCAATGATGGATTGTCTATCAGAAATGAGTAAGATTTAAACAAGAAAAAAGTTTTAAAAGCCATCCAGTAAAATAATGGAAGCTGTAGCCATCGGTCCAATAATGAAATTGATGAATAATACTTTATTCTCAGTGCGTAAATTGAGTATAAATGTACTGTGAAAGGCAAAAAGCAGTAAGTTTAAGATTTCTTGCTTGATTTTATTATTCACAATAAAATTAGAAATATCGAAATCATATGATATTGGAAGTAAATGATGAATGATTACAGTGTTGACCGTATTATGAGTCCATTAGTCATAGATTCTTTGAGATGCATATAAAAATAAGAACAAGAATCCTATTCTATTTGTTTTTTGTACTTTGAAATACGTAAATTTATCAAATGGATTTGTAGTTTCACATCAAGGACTGACTAAAGTTGGAAACACGATTGGGATCAGCAAGCATTAGTCGATGGTTATTTTGCCCAATTTGGGACTCTTCAGTAGTGGGCACCCGAAACCGCACAACAGGTGGGAACCCAGGATCCACAAGTCTCATGGAGATCGCCTAACCTTCAGATAACTGAGTTTCCACCCAATCATCTACATGTCCAACCTCAGTCAATTTGCAATATTCCGCAACTATCATTCAGGTCTATCAACTGTGCTTGTCTCATGCCATACACAGATAAACTGCACTGGTTAAGGTTTCTCAACAGAACTTCTGAAATTCTCGTTGTAAGTACGTAGTTTATATTAGTATGAAAGGTTTGTAGTACAGGATCTCGAATGAGTTTATGTCCGAAAGCACTTTCTGCTAAAATAGTATATGTCATATTCAAACAAAAAATTTATCTTTACCAGTCTAATAAAGCGAAAACATAATATATAAATGTAATCAAATGCTTTTGCAGAACCAGTAAACAATTAATTAAAACAACGTTACAGGAAATCAGTGATACAATATTTAAATGGTAAGAACTTTGATAAGGTTACATTCATCGAACTAGGCAGCTTAATAATAAAGCTTTCATTGAATTTCTAGACCAAGACAATCAATGCCTATTTCAAATAAAAATGACCATTAGAGAATTACACAAAAGATGCTATATCAATTTGTCCTAATAAGCATGTTAGTGATTGATAAGGACAACCAATCAATAATAGGGTTATTAGAATAGATTGATACAATATATACAATATATAATTCTAAAATGGGTGTAACTACAATGTAAGGACAGCCATGAAACCTTTCATAGTTTACTAGTTTTTAAAGTCTTATTTTGTTTTCGATCTTAATACTGCAAAAGTATGATTACATAATCTCAGTTATTTGATTGTGAATATATTCAGGACAGTGAAATGAAGTGATGCATAGAAATTGTCATCTATTTTAGCACTCATAGTTCGCTATTTCACTTATTATTCAGTCAACATCAATAAAAAGATTTCTTAGAGACAAAGTAAAGCGAAACGAAAACCCGTTGGTCTACATGCTATGCACAACCAAACATCTCACGAGTTCAACGCTTATAATCACTCCACAATAACAAAAAGAAATTTTTCTTAGTAATTTTAAACAGTCTGAACATTCAGTCAGTCAACTACAATGTAGGACCAGGCACATACATACATCAGTCCAAGTTGTGTGGCGCATATATATCTGGTGTCCCTTTGTATCAATATCTATGTGTTAAAATAAATAAATAAACAGTTCAAGTTGCCATACCTCATTAGCACAAGAAGATGAACACCAAATCCATAGAGGTAGTCACTTCAATGGTAGTAATGTATTAAAGAAAGATTGTGTATAAGGATATAGTACAGAAAGAATTATTTCGTAGAGAGATATAAGGGAAGACAAAGAGTGTATACACCGAAGCCATTGTGATGGATTCCGAGTCACGTCACTCAGAGTCTCCAACCACTGATTACGACAATCACACGGACCCCAACCAAGTAGTCTGCATCTCCCTACATGGCTCAGCCCAGAAGTTAATGACTTCAGGGACTGATGTCAATCTGAGCATTATAAAATGGTTTTTTCTATTTTGCTTTTCACGTGGTGCAAAATACAAGTTATTCATTTTTAAATTTTGTGCAAAAACCGAGTTGTTTACTCTATCCTAATTGGCTTTTCCTTATATTATAGTTGTATAGCAAATTATTTACTTTTATTCAAGTTAAGAGGGCTTTCGTTGCCACGACCTTGAGATGTATTCTGTCACTGAGGTTTTGACATGTATAACACAGTCACATAGTCATCATCAATGAGTCGTATGTCATATAACAGATCATCCGTAAGTTAATTGACTACTAGATACCGTTATCTATCTTTCCAATACTGTTAATAACGTTCGATTTTTTAAATTGACCACATAAAACTGTATCTAATGTTGACTATTATTAGAATATCATATTAATTTACACAAATAAATAGCATCAATTCAAGAAACATAATTTACTGGGTAGCTATTTTGTTCAGACATGAAAAGAATGAACAACAATTAGATAGAACTAGAAAAGAAGGCCCAGGACAGAGTGGGTTGGAGAATGCTGGTTGGTGGTCTATTCTCCATTAAGAGTAACAGGCATAAGTAAGTAAGTGTTTTGTTCATATTTTAGGACAACTCCTCAGAAATTTACAAATATAATTTCCTGTTTAAAACTAAAGATAAACTTGAACAGAACCACTGACACAGAAACAGAACTTCAACTTAAAAACTATTTATTAAATCCTACTGTCTTTACTTTTGACCTAATATTACATCTGCTTCAATTTACGTGTAATTGGCCAATGGAAAAAGAAAACTGTTGAATTATATCTAAACTATAAAGAATACAATATAGATAAGGAATGAACAAGGGTAAAATGAAAAGTATAAAACCGTGCATTTATAAAACCTAACAATATAATATAGGTTTATTGTTATAATGGTTTTCATTTTGTTAGTCTTGAGATAATGAATTGTTTTTGTTTTGTTAAGTTTTAGAAAAATTTATTGTTTACAACAAAAGTACAAATATTCATGGAGTTTTATTCTCTAAGCTGGATGGTTTGGTTGTACAGCTCAGAGAACAAAACTCCATCAAAATCACGCACACGACCTACAAATCTTCTCCACTATCTCAAAAGTACAAATAATTAAATGAATTTCATGCAATATATGTATTATGTAAGTAGTATTACTGAGGTTTGACTTGATAATTTCATTTGATGCATAATTCATGCATAAACTGTTTCTTCAAATAGGAAATTTAAATTATAGCTAGCTAGCAATCAAACCCAAGACGCGAGTTTCCCTCGAACATCGGTTTCATCCACTAAACTTACCTAGATAAAGTATGGATGTCTACACTGAAACCTAAACTCATGTTGTACCCTCCTGCTTTTGATATATTAAGGACTGTATTCAATTAAAATATATAAGTATATAAGCACTGAAACTTGGAGAACTACAACAACCATCATCAAGAAGGTACGAGAATTTATAAACAATTGTCTATGCAAGACACTCAACATCTATTGACCGGATATCATCAGATACAGCCTTCTTTGAGAGAGAACAAACCAGATTCCAGCTGAACGAGAAATTAGGAAAAGATGATGGAAATGGATAGGATATACATTACGGAAATCATCAGACGGCATCACTAATCAAGCCCTAACATGAAATCCTGAAGTGAAGCGGAAAAGAGAAAGGTCAAAGAACACATTATGTTGGGAAATAGAAGCAGATATGGAAAGGATGAATAACAACTGGAAGGAGCTGGAAAGGATTGCTTTGGACAGGGTTGGATGGAGAGTACTTGCAGGCGGTCTATGCCTCTCGACGAAGAGTAACAGGCGTAAGTAAGCATTGATTTTTCCTACACTTAAAAAAGTGATTATAGTTTGGAAAATTTTCAACATTTGAATCCAAGAAATGCTTCACGTCCTGGTTAGGGTTTATCAAGTTAGTGAACCAACATTTTCAGTTACCATTCATTCTTAATTTCAAATTTGTGGATCGCTACTTGTTGTCGATTGTTACCACCATTGAATATACGGGCATCTTTTACGGATTTGCTGATTTTAACATCGTATTACTAACAACTAGACGTTGTAGTTTCGCTTAAACATCAATCAGTTGAGTGTTTAAAAACCATTGTAGCACAAAAAGCCAGGTGCTTTAAATACAATCGTGAGGGGTTTAATATATTTCACAAAGAAGTAATTTATTAGTTTGATTAACTTCCCTATTAACGTGTAGATGGTCATCCCCATCCGCCCACACGGAAACATACAGATAAAATCCCAACTAAATCTATTGTCAGAATTCGGGAACTGGAGAACAAAACTCCATCAAAACCAAAAACTTAAATGAAAATACATTAATTACAGTAATAAGAAATGATTTTAAAAAATACACGTTTAATTATCAATTATTTAACACTTAATTTTTATATAACTTACCTAACATATTTAAAGTACCCAATGTGTTTGCTTTAATAGTACGTATAGGATTATGCATATAATGTTGAGGTGACGCTGGTGAAGCTAAATGGTAAATTTCATCCACTAAAAAGGATTGATACATACATTTTATCAATATGACATTGTTAGCAATTTTATTTAATTATTTATGAAAGTTAGTTTATTAACTCGATGATTAGTTAAAAATAATTTTATGTAAATGTAAAGCTGCCTAGTTCTAGTTTGCGGGAACTTTTCAGTAATACATAACAATGACCATAAATGGGTTTGATAATAAAGAAGAGGTGGGTTGAGCATGATGTTGAGTTCGTAATTTTGCATCGCAAACCGATTTGATTTAGAAAACCTTAAATAATTGTGAATCACCTGATAGATGTTTCATCCCAGTATGATACATCTCATCGATGAATATCTACAACTCATAACTTTTAAAGTTCGTGAGAAGAACCTAAACTTTGAACCATAGGGTTGGGACATAATAGGTTGCATTCCCAATTCCAATGAGTTCGCGAAATTTTATGTCCATCATCCATTTCCACTGGTAATATATGTCTCACATCCAACAGTCAGCTACAAAGTAGGATCAGGCACATATATGCATTGGTCCAAGTTGCCATACCTCATTAACACAACAAGATGGACACCGGATTAATAAAAGTAGTTAATTCAGAGGTGGTAATATATAAAAGAAAGATTGCAATGAAAATATAGTACAGGAAGAAAGAATTAGTTCATGGAAAGAAAGATATGAAGCAATTTTAATCTCTTAGTTTAAGGGAAGACAAGGAGTGTATACACTTACTCCATTGTGATCGATTCTGAGCCATGACACCCACAGTCTCGAACCACTAGTTACGATAGTCACGCGGACCCCAACCGAGTAGTCTGTTGGTAGCAACATGGCTCAGACTAGAATTTAGTGACTTCAAGCACTGATGCTACGTTTTGGTTTGGCCGCCCCTAACTTTCTTCCAACCAAACCTAGGGTAAGAAGGCGAAGTCGTAATGCTGACTGTACAGAGGTGTGACAGCAGAAAGGTGTTTCTTTCACACAACCAGCATGACAGCGATACTGCCTTCCCACAAGGAGGGGTTGGGTTAGAAAAGGTTGACCCTAAAAATGCACACCTCGCTTTATCCCATGGATATCCGTCTCCGGCGGTAAGGCCCCAACAAGTACGGAGCTAACACAAAAATTACCCATAAAAAGGTCGTGTGTGACCGACCTCGAGCAGTTGTCCCTTGGGCACTGCGGTCACGCTCTCAGGTCACTAAGACCACCTCTAATCCAATTTCCTTTTCAAGTACCTCCAGAAGAACTCTTCCACAGTGTGGGCAACCGGGAAGTGATAACCACCCTCATACCTCTAACAGCACTCAAGACCACATCCAACATGGTTAAACTCCACTGATCATGACTTCTCAACAGAATTTAGTCGGTAGTAAAAATATGGTAAACGTTAGTAATAAGAATTATAGGTAATGTTGAATTTCGTAGTAGTATCATTCATGTATTGGATTTTGTTGCAATAACATGTTAATAGGACCATATATGTAATATCGCAACAAATATTTGCTTAACATATGTCCGAATTGTAATTATTCAAAAATATATCTTATAAAGTCTGTCCATAACCAGCATCTACCACTCATTTTCAATTGCAAAGGCTTTTTGCCAGTTCATATGGTACAGCTATTTCTCCAATCTATCCTATCTGAAATGCATGAATTGAAATGTATTCGCCACTTATTTTCCTAGAATGACAGATAATGAGAACATTCAAGTCAATAAATAAAGTTTTTTGAATTAAGTTCGTTAATATTTATGATTGCAGTAATTTCTAAGTCTTTTATAATAGCTCATGAGTAGACACAATTAGTGTTCATAATCATTCAATTTAAACAAATGTAAACTAGGAAGGTTCATTGTAATATTTATTCCATAAGTAAAGAGGTTGTCTACGCAAGATACTCAACATCCATTGACCGGATATCATCAGATACAGCCTTCTTTGAGAGAGAACAAACCAGATTCCAGCTGAACGAGAAATTAGGAAAAGATGATGGAAATGGATAGGATATACATTACGGAAATCATCAGACGGCATCACTAATCAAGCCCTAACATGAAATCCTGAAGTGAAGCGGAAAAGAGAAAGGTCAAAGAACACATTATGTTGGGAAATAGAAGCAGATATGAAAAGGATGAATAACAACTGGAAGGAGCTGGAAAGGTTTGTTTTGGACAGGGTTGGATGGAGAATACTGGTAAGCAGACTATGCTCCTTCACAAAGAGTAACAGACATAAGTAAGTAAACAGGTGCTCTAGACGTTTGGCCAGACCACCTTACAGATTATCACTGACCATTCAGCTAATATAAGTTTGTAGTTGAAACTACACATATAAGTGTGAATTTGAATTGAATTCTGTTGACTCAATGGTCTATATTTATGCCTTATACTCTCATTATTTTATTCATAAATACCCGTCGTATCACCTTATTTATTTTTACACCCCTATGACCTTTTAATTATTGTGACTAAATCTATTGTTATTATTCGTATTACGCAATCTAGTATTGTAATCTTCCCATTACGTCATCTTAGTTATTTGTGTTCACATTTCCTCACGGAATTAGTACTTTTACGAAAACAAAATTTTCATATATGTACGATCGTACAGCTTGGTAATAAATTCGTTGAAAAGAGATCCCTTCGCTGAACTTCGTGTTTTTAATAATCCATATGATTTCAACAGAATCTCATCATCTCTTTAGATTGGGTGTCTTTCTGAATACATAATTCTTTTGAACTGGTACAAACACCGTTAGAGTATTGTTTTAAATTATTAGGCAACAACTGTTAACATAAGCATAGATAATATAATCACCTTCCACATATATAGGATTGGTAACATCATGATGTAAAAGTTCGAAATTACTATGTCCAATCCAATGTTCGATATTATGTCGTTTTCCTGTGAAAAAATTGTCAAGAGCTATAACCTCATGACCATCTTGCATTAATTTATCAACTAAATGAGAGCCAACAAAACCGGCACCACCGGTTACCTAATAAGAGAAAAAATAACTGATAGAAGTTAATCAATCATATTTGAGATAAAGAGAACAAGTTGTGAGTCATATATAAAAAAAACTGAATAACTCAATTTTATCTAAAATCTGTCGAAAAATAAACTGAAAGCCCTATAGTTAAACCATTTAACCTGAAAATGTAACTTTATCGAAACTGAGAATTTTATGTTTGTCTGTTATGGATTTATTAAGACCCAAACCTGCTTCGGTTCGGGCACCCAGGTAGTATCACAGCCCATTGGAGAGCATCATATTTCTCGAGCGTTCGAATAGTCATCAGCACCATGATTAAAAAATAAATGACTGACGTTGTGACCATAATTTATCATTTCCTATTTTATTTCAAGAATATTTTTCGGGACCAATGATAAATGAAGAATGTTTCACTAGTGTAAGAAATAATGGTATACTTGATTCAGTCCTCAGGACAAAGAAACGTCAAAAAAAACCAAACGAATATTCTTTGTTTAATCTCGTTCTCTACATTGTTTTGAGTTGGGCCCACAGTGATTAATGTAAATTTAGGCCATAGAAATTAGAATTTGTACAATCGTTTGTTTACCCATTTGTTTGAAGTATATCAATATTACCACACAAAAAATTACCCAAAAACGAAGTAATAATGTGAAAATGTAAATAACTATCAGAAGAGATGCACCCGATTAGTTCTGCATCAACTCTGGTGGTTAATTCGATACTGACCTCAACCAAATCGGATTCCAGTGTCACAAGATCTTCGGATATGAGCATGTGAAACATGTTTTCTGACTAACAGATGGAGAAGAAATCTATGTTACTTTATAGCAGTCTTGAGTACTAGTCACAGACATGTAGCACAAGCCAATATCAAGACTTTCCAAAGAAAAACCCGGACCTACCTGTTATTCTACTTACATAGAAATGTATATATTGGAGAGGTAGGGTTAAATTATAGATTCAGGAAACCTGTATTGGTTTTCTACTCAGTGATAATATTCAAAAATCAACCACTCAGTGAATCGAAACCTCTCTTACTGGACAGAACTTTTAACAGAGACGAGTTACTGGGTGAGTTAAAGAGTAATATTACGCAAATAACGTTAATAAAACATAATAGTAATCATGATGGTAGCAATAATAATTGCTTTGTGCAATATGGATTTCTCAGCACACATGTCGACAAACTTGTTATTTGTAGATATCTTAATATGTATATATACATACATGAGTAAAATAGTTAGGTGAAATAATATAAAGTTAAACATAAACCTTATGGGGAAGCAAAAATCTTATCCCCCAAAACCTGTTGGCACAATACGTGATACACGCGATATTTTATTTCCGTCTATAAACAAAATCAAATAGATGTCCAAAGCATAGTTATGTAAGATTGGAGGTACAACTTGGTTGGCCGATGAGATGTAGACAGAATAGTTGCCAGCGATTATCCGCAGCTTTATTATTTTATAGCCTCGGATACTGTCTAAAAACTCGGGACAAAGTGAAGCTCTGCCAGACAAACATAGGAAAACTCGAAAAAACAGCAGTTTACAATAGAAAAGATGGATTACCAGTATTCTTTTCTTCTTAGTCCAATGAAGCTGCTTGACCGGCAACCACTTCTTCGCACAACTAAATTGGTCAGCTGCTAAGGAGTTTGCAAAGCTGTCTGCTGGACATGTGTCACAGTCTACTACGTTGAAATAGATTAAAGCAACCTGAACACTGAGAAAATGTTGAATAGAAACCTACAATCAAAGTCTCTAAGACTACGTTTGCCTTAGACGACATTATTACGGTAAACTGACGAGATTGATTATTTACGCGCTAACTGTACAACTCCAGATTCAGCTGTCCACATATTGAGACTTGCGGGATTTACAGGTCACACAAGCAAAATTTCGTGTGATGGATTAAAACAATATACTAGTAAAGTAACAACAGACATTCTTAAAAGTTTAACTTTGAAGCTTTGTTACTGGTCAGTTGTTTGTTTATCGTTCAGTGTTTTCGCATTTGTCTAAAATTACCTTCCAAATTACTGAATAATAATATTTAACTTCAAATGGTTCAAATGGTTCAAAGTGGCAATTGAAGAAATAAAAGAAACTGTTTCTTGATAAGCTTCCGTGTCTGGAGTTAGTGAATGCCTTCAGACAAGAATCCATACGCGTAAAGGAAACGGTTTTAGTGGCCCGTTGAATCTGACTCCATTTTAGATTGTACGAATGTTTGCTATCGCTGATTCTCGTATATAATCGTCGACTTAAATCGCGTTATCCAATAACGGAATTAAATAAGTCGAATAACGAGAATAAGGTATATGGGCTTGGCATAATAACTGACACTACACGGTATAGAAATATTGGTTATTTGGTATATATATCATCATAAACCCTAAAGAATATGTCGTTTTCTCAAGAAGCACTTCTTGGAAGCCACAGGTATGTTTATAGTTCCGCCTACGATGTTACATCTCTGATCTTTGGGTTTTGCACTCAAAGATGTTGGAGATTTAATAGGTATTTAAGAGAATAATTAGGAGTGTTTATGAAACAGCAGGTCATAGAAATGATGCCTCGGAATCTCCTATACTTCAGTAGGTTGTGATCCAGTTGTTAACCGGGTTCATTACAAGCCTGAAATTGAGTCCTCAAATTGATCTTGTGCCTCACGTTCCGATACTTTCCAGAATATTCTTGTCGCTTGGGATTGAAGGATGAAAATGCTTGTGTCGATACCCTCAATGAGATCCCAGAAAATTAAATAAAGATTTTTACTATCAAAACCACTCAAAAAGTACGATTGCGAGCTTAACCCTAAATATATTTTTGTCGTAGTCTGTGTAAGACTTTACATAATCAGTAGCGAAGATACCTAGATCTTCAACAATCGATGACAGTTCTAGATAAATTACATTGGCTATGTCTTAGGTAGATTTGTGGAATTATGGTCTACTATGATATCAGTACTGCTCTAATAATAGACTTAATCCTAGAATTTTAGGTTTGTCATGATATAACTGCCTTATCTATAAGATCTTACATGGAAGTCACACCATCGACTACACCAACTCACTGTATCGTATCAATTACCAATAGATGATGTAGAACAAGGTTCGTCTAGAGAAGAAACAATATATTTAATATGAATAGGTGATATAAGGTAACATTCAGAGGGACCACGCCTGCATGGCCGAGCCATGCCATTCGATCAACTCCAGTCTATTCAACTCCTTGTTCGCGCCTCCTTCATCGTTAGGTATTTCCCCGCGTTAAATATTGAATATCTATTTTCTGAGTAGTCTCGTGTTCAGCTTTGTGGATTGTGTGGTTATTGTCCAATGCCACTACAGATTCTCTTTCACTTTGAAGCAATGAAACAGATACATTGTTATCCACAAAAATTTGGATTCAGTTCAGATCCCCGTGATGTGCTAGTTTATCATCCAGGTTGCAAACTTTCCTTCAGAGCTTAAATTTGTCAAAATAATTATTACCTCATGGGATACTTACAGAAGAAATTCATTTCTGAGGGTTTTAGAGAACGGGGATTTTCGTACTGAACCCTGTTAGACCTAATTATGGTTCTCCGTAGCCCATAAAAATAAATTATGTACCCCGATTCGAGAAAATTATCGGTTTTGGCAAGTGTGATTAATTATCCCTACCCTACACTTACGGTCAAGGATCGTGATCCAACTAGCTATTGCAGTCAACAGGTTCGTTGTGCAGGAATGGCAATTTCTGAAAATGCGCCAGTGAAGTGAGAATAAGTCAATAGACACTAGACATTTCCATGAACCTCCATAAATTAGTCACTCCATAACCGTTGAGTGCATACAAAGAAATACTACATCCTGATAGCTTGAAAGTTTATTGCATCCACCTTCTTTGGAAAATGGTGTGATGTGTATCAGCTTCTAATTTTCTGCGACTACGCCCCTCTTTACGGAATGTGAGGACATTACACTTAGGGATTTTGTAAATATTGAATCCGCTTCCCTCGTCATGACAGAGTGAACCAAGTCTAGATCAGGAGGTATATCCCTGTTTAGATGCTGCAGTTGATGATATACCATTTCAGGGCTTAGATTCACGTTCAAGACTTCACTTGAGCTACATTGAAGTACTCACTGATATGCCTTAGAGGTGAGAGTTGAAATGTACAAGAATATTGTTTTAACAAGAGCTCTGTTTCATCAATGTTTTTCGTGTTCTGGTCATTGTGAGCAAACAAACAGGAAATTCTGGCCTCGGTTCGACCAAAAGAGATCACATTAACAAACGTTGTTCATCACAAATACATCCAAATTCATTTAAAAATGAGTGAATTTCATGACAACAGTTTAGGAACATTTAAATATTTCGAGATTCTTTCGTTATATAAAGTCACTTCAAGATTTTAATTCGAAACGCACATTTATCTTTGTCTCATTCATCCGAATGAGCTGTATGTTAGTGACGAAGAAATTTACCTACACAGGCGTTTTTTGTTAGATAGTTCCTTACTATTCTACACTTTTTATTCTTGACAGATCATAGTCAGTTTGAATAAATAGATAGATAGTCGATGTTTTACCTGACATTTCAAATCTAGTGTTGTGGTGGAGTACACTGGTGTAGTCCAAAGTCTATTATCTACCATCCCTAAATAACATTTATGTTGTAATTGCTATTTGCAGCTCATGCTATTATTCTAAATACTACCGACTCTATGCTGATGAGAAGATAATTTTCAACATCTGTTGCCGGTCCAGTCTGTGTCTAGGCGATAATGAGTGTATTTTTCTAGATATTGGTATAACAAGCAATTAATGTATGAAGTAGGAGACATTGTAGTAGATCCCAGTAAAACGTTTATTCAAGATATAACGATACGCCCAGTCAAGCAGAACAGTAACAAATGACACTTACAGCGAAACGGTATATTAAGTAACAAAATGGTAACACTTGTTATGAAATAAATGTTACTTGTAAGCTGCTTCTGGGATAACAACTGCAAATGATTTCAATTAATTAACAAAGGTTTCTCTGCATGCAGTGACACCATTGGTGTGATGAGAAAGACATAACCGATAGTATTATTTGATAATAAACCGGGTCAAAACTCCAACTTAGTGTAGAATGATCTAACAGTATTATAATTCTCAATCGCAAGCCGTGGCCAATAAATTAGAATAACAGACGACAGATAGCTCTCATTTATAATGATCGCGGTAATGTGTCTGTAGTATCGGTTATTATGTTAAGCCCATATACCTTATTCTAGCTTACGGACAACCCAATCTATTCATTCTACTGAGTCACATTTTGACCTTATTTATTCGCTTTTCAATCTTGACTGTTTTTATTTGAGCGTAGGTGTGTGTACATTTCTTATCCCATTACTCATCACATGTCTGTAACTTACTTTTGTGTAACTATAAATATTGATTAATGCTTGGTTAACTCGGTGTTGGCTTACCCGCCATCTCCACTACGCGTCGTTTCTCTTTTTTCTATTCCATTCACTTTATACACAAAATATATGTATTCAAAAGTCCATTCTCGTTATTTGACTTATTTAATTCCTTTATTGATTAATGCGATTAAAGTCGATGATTATATACGAGAATAGGCGACATATATATTTCGACGACGATCATTTATGCGATCTCCTTGGGGTCAGAACTTGGGCCACTAAAGTGAAGAGCCCGTCAACAAATATCATCCGATCTAAATGACGACAAAGTAAAGGACTCCACAAAATGTCTTGTATTAGCACAGTCAATCAATCATATCCGATTCTTACCACTGTACAGAGAAACAATAGATATTGAATATAAATATTATTACGCATAAAATGTCACAAATAAAGAAAAAATTGTGGTCTTTATTTTGTTGTTACAAAAATTCATTGGATATACACGTCACTACAACATATGGCCACTTATATTATTTAACATACTAGCCGTTATATCATCATGCCCTCAAGTATATGTGTTTCAATGTCCTAATTGCCTAAGAGGCATGCTGCACAATAAAGTTTACAACAAGACAAATTGTTCAGAACATTGTTCCAGCTATCTAGCATCACAAATCTATATCTACCCTATTACCTAGTGACTCAAAGTGTTGATTTGTAAATCAGCTATCTCTTATCGAGCTTTTCTTAAATAACTAACTGAAAAGAAAAATGGCTTGCTAATCTGGTCATTTTTCAATTACTGTCTAAACGATTAATGTCTAATGTCATTTTCTTACACGAGCTTCCACTGTATCTGTTTTAACCGGAGGATGGCCGCTAACCTGTATAATTTATTTTGTAGAATCCAAACTACGGTTTGGATAGATGAATAGCCATCCAGGTACGTTAGACACGCGCCCTTGCCCGTCGAAATCAAAACAAGTAATCGGGTAAAAAACGGTTCTATAATTCATCATCGATTTAAATGTTACTCGTTACCTAAACAAATATTACCACCCGGCTATTCAACCAATAATGGTTCAATCAATCAAATCTAAACTACAATAAATAAAGGAGTTGATGAAAGATGAGAGAAAATTACCAGTCACAACAAATGAACGTTATTCTATCCTGACTGGATAGAACACACAAAAGGAGGAGCAAATCAATATGGCTACCGCCAAGAACAAGTGTCAAGTAAAACAACACAGATGCAGTTCGGTAACAAAAACAAAAACTATTATAAAAAATACAAGTATTAACAATTCAAATGTGATCAAAAGACAACAATGTACAACTAAGGGGATCAATAGGAACAAAGTGCAAGTATATACATGGAGGGATTTTCACAAACACACAAAACACTCAAAATGGATCTTACAATCTGTGTAACAACAGAAATTTAAATTTATGGTCTAAATACAGAAAAAAATTTAAAAAACTATTTTTTATTACATG